AACCCGATCCAAAGCTGGAATCTTTTGCCCAAAACAAATCGTGAACCTCACTGCCTCATCACCTATCTCCCCCTTACCTCCGACTTACCGTAGTGCACTAAAAGATCCAAACCGGCACGCTGCTATGTGTGATGAATATAATGCATTGATCAAGAATGAAACATGGGAATTAGTACCCCCCTCCCCCACCCAAAATATAATCTCTGGTAAATGGCTCTTTAGACACAAACTTGGCCCATCAGGTGAGTTATCCAGGTATAAGGCCCGTTGGGTGGTCCGCGGCTTCAACCAGCGCTTTGGCGTTGACTACGACGAGACCTTCAGCCCCGTTGTCAAACCTGCTACAGTCCGCATCATTCTTAGCATTGCTCTGTCAAGAGGATGACCCATTCACCAGCTAGACGTCAAAAATGCCTTCCTCCATGGTCAGCTACAGGAGACAGTTTACGCCAGTCAGCCTTCCGGGTTTCAGGATCCAGCTCGACCTCACTATGTTTGTCGACTCAAGAAGGCTCTCTATGGACTCAAGCAGGCACCGCGGTCGTGGTATCACAGATTTGCCAGTTTCATTCAGACTATTGGGTTTCGAGGGTGCAAGTCGGATACATCACTGTTTGTTTTCTCTCATGCCATGGGCACAGCCTACCTACTCCTGTACGTTGATAATATTGTTCTCACAGCATCTTCCACAGCACTCCTCCAGCATCTCATCCAGCGGCTAAAGGCCGAATTTGCTATGACAGACATGGGGGACCTACATTTTTTTCTTGGCATCAATGTACACAGGACGACCAGTGGCTTCTTTCTCCATCAGACACAGTTCACTCATGACATACTTGAGCGGGCCGGGATGGCTTCTTGTCGCCCCATCTCCACCCCTGTGGACACTAAGGCAAAGCTCTCCTCCTCGTCAGGCACTCTGCTCCCCGATCCTACTCTTTATCGATCTGTTGTTGGAGCTCTACAGTACCTTACATTTACTCGCCCTGACATCACGTATGTCGTCCAGCAGCTTTGCCTACACCTTCATGCCCCCCGTGATGCTCATTTCACGGCCAAGAAGTGTGTCCTGCGCTATCTTAGTGGCACCTCCACCCATGGCATCCACCTGGCACGATCCTCCACCGACTCCCTGCAGGCATACTCCGATGCTGACTGGGCTGGTTGCCCAGACACCCGCCGTTCCACCTCTGGATACTGTGTCTTTCTTGGTGATAATCTAGTCTCCTGGTCCTCCAAGCGTCAGGCTACCACTTCTCGTTCCAGTGCCGAAGCCGAGTATCGCGCCGTGGCCAACGCTGTAGCAGAGACGAGCTGGATCCGGAATCTACTACTTGAGCTGCAGCAACCCCTTCGGCGTGCCACCCTTGTCTTTTGCGACAACGTCAGCGCTGTGTATCTCTCGACAAATCCTGTGCAGCACCAACGCACCAAGCATGTGGAAGTTGATATTCACTTTGTCCGTGACAAAGTAGCACTAGGCCAGGTGCGCGTTCTCCACGTTTCCTCGTCTTCACAGTATGCTGACATCTTCACTAAGGGACTGCCTTCCTTATTATTTCTGGACTTCAGACAAAGCTTGGGAATCAGACCTCCTCCATATCCGACGTAGCCGGGAGCATGTTAAATATATTGTATATATTTAATATATTGTATTATTCACTTACCTTATTTGTATAGGTTTCCTTACTTGTGTCTCACCTACCTTGTTTAGGATTGAGACTCCCCCTATATATATTCATGTAATCACAACTCATTCAATCAATGAAAATAATAATTCTTCAAGAATGACGGATTGTCACCGCGGAGTCAGTTTTCAAATATCTTAAGGTATCTCGGAGTATATTTTGAAAAACAATGGGACCTACGAATTCTTAGTACAAAATAAGGGGTATCCAGCAGCAATTTTTTGCAAAAGAGATGAATTTAACTAAAATGAAAATGAATATACTAACACCTAAATTATGACGGATACTGTATTATTATAAAATCAATAACATTTAAAAAAAATATTAATACCTAAATTAATTTAAAAACATGCTAAAATTCAGAGGAAGATAACATTTTCACAAGCTTATGGACAAACAGGGCCAGAGTCCCGAGATGTGTTGAAGAGACAAAGTCCAGGTAAGAAAAGTTGCTCCCCATTCATAGTTTCATACGTAATTCTCCCTATTTCATAGACTGCTTCAATTTCAATGGTGGAAACGCAGAGATGGCGAAACTAAACAGCTATATGACTGCTGATGCCTTCTAGTCGGGCGCCGCCGCGGGCGGCAAAGTTCTTCCATCTTCGTCGACAATAAATTCCCACCACCTCTCCCCCGTCTCCTACAAACAAGTTCGGAATTCACTTCCTCCGCTCACAGGTCTGATCGAAGTGCAGAGGTTTCGAATTCTGCGGTTGCAAACGCCGATCCGGTATGTTTTAAGTTCGGTATGTTTTAGAGCTGAAACTATTGTATTACTTGAAATTTATTTCCATTTTAACGAACCCTGATGCAAATACTGGAATTATTGTGTTGAACTTAGGTGCAGTTTATGAGATATCAAGTACTGTTTTGAATCTAATACGATTCTAGGGTTCATAATCTGGTAGTGTTTATCGGTAACAGTTAATTTTAGTTGTCTCTGCGTGGAGAGCAGAAATTGAAGAAGCCAATACTGTAATTTGCGATCCAAGTAAACAGCATTGGATGGGTTTGGTGAATTTTTGATACGTAAAGTGTATGGACATGACTTGTAGCTGTTTTGGTGGATCAAGTGCGCGTCGTAGGAGTAGTAGGAATAGTTTTGCTCATCAAGAAGCTCGAGATGGTGGAGGTTTGTGATTTAAATTCACAGAAATTTAATCAACCCTAGTTACTCTCCAGTACAAATGCGTTCTATGTCATATCTACATTTACATTTGACTGGCTAGATCACTCAAGTGCAACAACAAAAAGATTCTCATACTCCGAGTTAAAAGAAGCAACAAACAACTTCAATCAAGCTAGTAAGATAGGAAGAGGAGGTTTTGGAAGTGTTTACAAGGTATAGTACTAGTTTGCCTTGGGACTATTAAGTCTAAACAACCACCCAAAATAAATAACAACATAATTTTTGTTCATGGGTTGTTTTAAACACTTGGCTTAAAAGTAAGATCAAGATTTTGGACATGCACTCTATACAAGTCTCTAACTATCTGCTTGTTGAATGTGAATTTATAGGGAACCCTACGAAATGGTTTACAAGTTGCAATAAAATCACTTGCTGCTGAATCAAAACAAGGAATTCGTGAGTTTTGGACGGAGATCGAAACTATTTCAAATGTAAAACATCCAAATCTGGTTGAGTTAATTGGGTGCTGTGTTCATGGTGACAATAAGCTCCTTGTGTATGAATATTTAGAAAATAGGAGCCTTGATCGCACATTGTTTGGTAAGTGCATAGAAATCTGTATGTTATGATCATACACTTTGAATTATCTAGTTAAACTCTTAGGCTCCTTTTGGTAGCCATAATTGGCTTATTCTACTCACCACTAGAAAAATCAGAATAGATAGTTGTTGACTTGCTTATTTGGCATAGCTGGATAGATGTAACCAAATGCTTTTGCTTTCAGAAAACGATTTGGCCATTGTAAGAAAACAACCCATGCCAAATGGACCCTTAATTATACTAATTGCATTTGCAGGTCATAGTACGACTGTTAACTTGGACTGGAGAACAAGAGCAACTATTTGCTTGGGAACTGCCAATGGCTTAACTTATCTTCATGAATTCTCAGTGCCGCACATAGTGCACAGGGACATTAAAGCCAGCAATATACTACTTGACAAGGATTATACACCAAAGATAGGAGATTTTGGGCTGGCTAAACTTTTCCCAGACAATATGACCCATATCAGTACCAGAATTGCAGGAACAACGTATGTCTCCCCTTCTGTTTGCTGTAAAAATTTGGTTACTACCCTGGCTTAAACATTTGATACTTTTTCCTTTATTCGATGTTGGCTCAGCTAAGCCCTTCGGTTGGGGGAATTTTGATGGGTGGGAAGGGGATGGGACAAGATGTGATATTTATTTTATTCATTTATTCTTACATTTAGATGTTATGGTGGAAAAATTATATAGAGATACATGATTTAACAGAACATATGGTTATTTTAAAGAATCAGACTAGTAAATAGAGATAAGCAAGTAAAGCAACAACAGCAAAAACAACCCAGTAAGGTATCACAAGTGGGGGGTCAGTGGATGGTGGGTGTATGACTGTATGCATACCTTACCCCTACCAAAAAGATACAGATGCTATTTCAAAAGACACTATGCTCTAGAAAACATAAAACTTGTCACAACAAAACCATCCTCTCTTTCCATCCTCTCCCCTGCCACTACCTAAACAGTCCTTAGTATCAATTGTTTTATGAATGAATGAGTGTGATAGGATTTGAACTAGATGTCATAGATTATTGTGAAAACCTTCTATTCTTACTTGAACTCCTCATGTTTATTTCAAGCAGTGGTTATCTAGCACCTGAATATGTGTTAGGGGGTCAATTGACATTAAAGGCTGATGTATATAGCTTTGGTGTTCTAATGCTTGAAGTTGTAAGTGGGAGGAGCAGTTCCAGTTCTAACTGGGGAGGACAACGTAAATTACTTCTTGAACAGGTGGGCAAGAACATATCATAGCTAAAATCAAATATTTTTATTCTTCAAAGCAGCATATTTTCACATTTATGGTTGTTTGTATCTTGACTGCATACATGTTAATACTTAATAGTCATTGGATTTACTCACTTTTTAATTGCTAATACAAATTCTTTTTCAAGGAATTATGCTATTCTATCACAAATAGATCTCTAAGTGCCACGTATTTGGTGAAAAAGTAGACAAGTTCATACAGTTTCCAAATGGTTAAGCCTACCCCTTTTTTCCATAAAATCTGGCCTTGTTTAGATGTCAAAATATAACTCTTTAAGTGTGCGTTTGGCAGTAGAATATTTCTGCTTATCATCCTCATCAACCAAATTTCCTAACAGACTAACTTATTTAACGGTTGGAAGGAGCACGGAAGTTAGTTTTTGGTTGAAATGACACTTTCAGTCATTATTTTCTTAAATTTATATAGGAAATACTGGAGTACTTTAAACACTCCCTCTGCCCCAAAGTGAAGTTTACAGATTGACATTTCAGAGTTTAAGAAAAGTGTTGAAAAGTAAAAGAGTGTGTTAAAATTTGTTCAAAAGAGCAATATTCCGATGAAAAGTAAAAAGTGTGTTTTAAAATTTGTTTAAAAGAGAATTGTTCTAAGCCATATTTTTAAAGAAGAATGTAAGGAAGTCTGAACTCAATATTGGGACATCGCAAAAAAAAGTGTTAACATCATTTTGAGATGGAGGAAATATTTCCTTAGATAACTCAGCTCATTCAGCCCATCTAGTCACTTCAACCACAATTTCAGCAACATCATCCAATATAAGGAGTAGTTATTTCCACCAAATTTTACCTTGCCAAATAAGTTCCATAAGATATTTGTGCATCTCATCTGCTAGAATTCTGGTGTGCTGTTGGAGTAAATTAATCTTTTACTCCATGAGATTTTACACAACACAATCTTCTCACAGTCCACTTTCAGAGGGGTACATTGAAGTTGAAAAAAAGTATAGTATATTCTGTGGTACTTAAGCTCCTGGGGCAAGAAATTCATTTGCTCCTAGAGCAAACAAGAACTCTCTACCTATTGGGTAGAGATAAGGTCTATGCCCTTGCCCCCTCACCCAACTCAATGGGATATGCTCACTTTGTTTGGTCTCTCCATTTGTGCCCTTGTCGATTATCTGCTGTTACGTTCTTAAAGGATTGAACTATTTGTACACCTTACCAAGCACGATCCATTCTTAAAATGTAATAGAAGAATTCTCTATCACAGGCATGGCAGCTACATGAAGAGGGCAATTTATTGGAGCTGGTGGATCCAGAGCTGGAACAGTTTCCTAAGGAGGAAGTCTTGAAGTATATGAAGGTTTCACTTTTCTGCACACAAGCAAATGCAAGCCGTAGACCGATGATGAGCCAGGTCGTTGACATGCTCTCCCGCGACATTAAACTAAATGAGAAAGAACTGACACCGCCCGGTTTCTTTCAAGATCCCAATGCGCTTAATGCTCACTCGAAGCAGAATGCATCTGAAACGTCCCAACCCATGAGCTCGGCTCCCATCACTATCACCCAGGTGAGTGCCAGATAAAATGCTTATTTTCTGTACCCCCACCCCCACCCCACCCCACCCATAAAAAAAGTAAAAAATTAAATAAAAAAAGAAGAATAAAGAAAGAAAAGAACAAGAATATCTGGAGCATTGCATATATTATGGGCCTCGATTGCACATAAAGAAGGCTGCTGTAGGGGAGTGTAGTTAGGCAGCTAATATTATTATTGGTTGATGTACTATTCTTTACCTTATTTTTTCCCCCCATCAGCTACCATTGTTAAATTATGTCGTACATTCGGATGTACTTATTTTACGTACACCCATTGAGTACAATATGGAGTATATAACTTGTAAGTGTGCATACACTAATTTTACAATGTGCATGCTTGGGTATGTACAAAAACGGGTGCTTTTTTGTAATTTCATTTTCAAGATTTCAGTTTTATTCTTTCAGTGATTGAATGTGTGGTAGCAGCGAAATGAGCACTATGCAATCGTTAAATGTGTATACATCAACTTCAACCTTTCATAATATACATGTTCCAAGAGGAGTGCATTCAATATGTAGTTTTCATAACTAGTGTATAATTTCTTTGAATTATACGGAATATATTTTTACTTGTATTTTTTTTTCTATAGGAGGCTCTACTAAACAATATTTACGTCCTTCCATTTTCACCTCTATCCACCTCTATCATGTTATTTTTATTTAACTTTTGATATAAAAAATATTCTTTGGTTGATTGCAAAAATTCAAAACTTCTCTGAGAAGCATGGAGTATTTATTATTAGCTTCATAAACTAATCAGAATTGAGAAATACCGGAGTAAAACATTATTAGTCTTATACTCTTATTAGCCCAATGAGAGGTCACATGTTCGATTCCCAATGCGAGCAATAACTCTACGAGTCTAATAAGAGTTAAGAATGTATGAATATATACTACATTGTTATAATAAAACATTATTATACTTCAATTTGTATGAATTGACTACGGAGTATAATAGTTTATTAACACCGGAGTATACAAAAATAACAACCCAACATTATCTAAACTCTATAGGGTCTAGGTGGTCAACAAAGTTTTATCCTTGTAGTGTTTTCGCCAAATTCTTAATGCAATGCTGCAATTTGTTATGGGGTTATATATGTTTAAAAGTAAACATTCCAATTCTGTTAGGTTGACTAGAACTTTTATAAAGGATGAGCCCCATCGGCCCATCCTCGAGGGTCCACTCAGACCCGGTTGGATGGTCAAGATTTTAATTGCAGATTGATGGCAGAGAGTGAGTAAAGACTCAATGCTTAACATAGTTTCCTCCTAGCGCAGTTGCAAGAATCAAACTCGGGTCTACCCCCTTGAC